AACTTGTCCATGCTGACCAGATAACCAAAATAAATCTAGTTCCATTTTCCAGCATTTGATCCAAATCTCTCTAAACCCTTCCTATTCATATACCCATCCAGATGCCTTTTAAGTGTTGTAATTGTACCAGCCTCCACCACTTCTTCTGGCAGCTCATTCCATACACACACCAGCCTCTGCGTGAAAAAGCTGCCCCTCAGGTCCTGTTTAAAATTTACCCCTCTCACCTTAAATCTATGCCCTCAAGTTTTGGACTTACTTTCCTGGGAAAAAGACCTTGGCTATTCACCCTAAGCATGCCCCTCATGATTTTATAAACTTCAATAAGGTCACCCCTCAGCCTCTGACACTCCAGGGAAAATAGCCCCAGCCTATTCAGCCTCTCCCTATAGATCAAACTCTCCAAACCTGGCATCATCCTTGTAAATCTTTTCTGAACCCTTTCAAGTTTAACAACATCTTTCCTTTAGCAGGGAGACCAGAATTGAACAGTTTTCCAGAAGTGGCTTAACCAATGTCCTGTACAGCTGCAACGTGATCTTCCAACTCCTATACTCAATGCACTGACCCAAAATAGGCAAATATGCCAAGTGCCTTCTTTACCACCCTGTCTACCTGCACCTGCACTTTCGAGGAACTATGCCCCTGGACACCTAGGTCTCTTTGTTCAGCAACACTCCCCAGGACCTTACAACTAAGTGTTTAAGTCCTGCCCTGATTTACTTTTCTAAAATGCAGCACCTCACATTTATCTAAATTAAACTCCATCTGCAACTCCTCAGCCCTTTGGCCGGTCTGATCAAGATCCAGTTGTACACTAAGATAACCATCTTCATTGTCCATTACACCTCCAATTTTGGTGTCATCTCCAAACTTACCAACCAGACCTCCTACGTTCTCATCCAAATCATTTACATAAATGACAAAAAGCAGTGGACGCAGTACTGGTGTTGCGGCACACTGCTGGTCACAGGCCTCCAGTCCAAAAAAAACCCTCCACCACTCCCTCTGTTTCCTATCTTCAACCTAATTTTGTATCCAATTGGCTAGCTCCCCCTGTATTCCATGTGATCTAACCTTGCTAACCAGTTTACCATGCAGAACCTTGCCAACGCCTCGTTCTGCCTTCATCAATCTTCTTTGTCACTTCTTCAAAAAACTCAAAACACTTTCACCTGAGAACCAGTCTTATCCTTATCCATTACTATTTTAAATCTTACAGAATTATGATTACTGACCCCAAAATGCTCCCCAACTGAATCTTCGATCAGCCAGCTTGGCTCATTCCTCAATACAAGGTCTAGTATGGTCCTTTCCCCAGTTGGACAATCTACATCTTGTTTCATCCCTCTTGGATGCATCTAACAAATTATGCCCCATCAAAGCTCCTGGTACTGAGGGAGTCCCAGTGAATATTAGGTGAATTAAAATTACCCATTACAACAACTGTTTTTTTACATCTTTCCACGATCTGCCAAGTTATCTGTTCCTCTATCTCCCATCAGCTATTGCGAAGCCAGCAGTATTACTTCATCAGTGTGACTGCATCTTTCCTATTCCTGAGTCCTACCCATAGACCCTTGCTGGATGAGCCCTCCAAGACATCCTTTCTTAGGGTAACTCTGACATTCTCCTTAATCAGTAATGCAGCTGCCCCACCCCTCTTACACCCTTCTCTCTCTAACCTGAAACATCTAAACCCTGGAACATTGAGCTGCCAGTCCTGCCCTTCTCTTATTCAAGTTTCTGAAAAGGCTACAACAATGGTCATTGTGACCCTTACCAAGTACAAACAATAAACTAGGAACCAATTACACAACTTTACTCACTACTCAGCAAAATCAGATTTCTGACTCTCGCTCTCTACTACGAACAGTCTACAAACCACAAGAATAACTACTTTAAACTCTTATTTACCTTCAAACACTACTCATTCAGTCTCTAGCAGTCACTTTTAGAATGCTGACATCACATCTGGAGATCCGCCTTTCAATTCCGCTCTGACGGACCTCAATCCAGGTCCCATTCCTCAGGATTTTATCCAGAAATTCCTGCTGCTGTTCATTCCCAGGTTGGCTCAGCTCCACTTTGCTCTGTCCCATTGCCATTCTGATCAACATCATCAATCATTGCTCCCTTCTCAGGGCAATTGGGGATGAACAATTAATGCTGGACTTGCCAACATTGCCCACATCCCAAGAATAAATTATACTGATTTTTAAAACATGCATTTTCTGCTGTCAGAGCCAGCAATCAGCAAATATTGTAACACTCAAGGAACATACAGTTTCAAGGGGTTGCTGTATTGGCTGCCTTTAAATTAAGAATTACATTCAACACTGCCTAGCAACAGAGACAGGTTTCATTGTTCAGGAATCAATGAACAAAGAACAAAGAACAAAGACAAAATGCATAGGAACAGGCCCTTCAGCCCTCCAAGCCTGCGCAAACACATTTTGCCCTTCCATACTAATTGTATCTTCACTTACAAGATCCGTATCCCTATATTCTGTTCCTATTCATATATCTGTCCAGGTGCTTCTTGAACGCTGCTATTGTGCCTGCTTCCACCACCTCCTCTGGCAACACATTCCAGACACTCACCACCCTTTGTGTGAAAAATTTGCCCCCTCACACCTTGAACCTGTGTCCCCTCAAAATTAACCCCTCCATCCTGGGAAAAAGTCTCATACTTTACACTCTATCCATGCCATTCACAATCTTATAAACTTCTATTAGGTTGCCCCTCAACCTCCTGTGTTCTAGGGAAAACCGACCCAGTCTATCCAACCTTTCTTCATAGTTAAATCCCCCATACTGGGCAACATCCTGTAAACCTGGAACAAAAACAGAAGTTGCTGGAAAAGCTCAGCAGGTCTGGCAACATCTGTGAAGAAAAAATCAGAGTTAACGTTTTGGGTCCGGTGACCCTCAGAACATATATCTTTCTTGCCGTTACTTAAAAACAGTTAGATTACAACAGTTCTGACGAAGGATCACCGGACCCGAAATGTTAACTCTGATTTTTTTCTTCACAGATGCTGCCAGACCTGCTGAGCTTTTCCAACAACATCTGCTTTTGTTCCTGATTTACAGCATCTGCAGTTCTTTTGGTTTTTGTCCTGGTAAACCTTTGCTCTACCCTCTCCAAAGCACCTGCATCCTTCTGGTAGTGTGGTGACCAGAACTGTACAAATCACTGAATATTACTGCAGTTAAAGTTGAAAAACAGTTAGTGACAGAAGCTGGCTCCATGCAGTCAAAAACCATTAAGTCTACTTTTCAGAAAGCAACATGAACTACATTGGGTATGCAGAGTTTGGACTCAGTGAGAAGCAAAGAGCAGTTGGATGGTTCTGTGCAGTCAGAACTCAGGGAGTCATTCTTGGAGTCAGTTGGCAGTTCAGTGTTGGAGTTAAGGCTCAGAAGAAATATTATGCTACTACTGGTTGAGTGCAGCACGCTGTGGGGGTTGAAAGTTTAGCTGAGCCAGATTCGAGTTCAGGAAATAAATCCAGGGCAGAACTGAACACATTGAAGGTTGCCGTTGAAAGCTGGAGTTCGTAGGGAGACAGGAGGAAAGATTTACTTTTGGGACCAAGAGGAGGAAGCCATGAGAACCCTCACAGCGACAGGCAATGAGTTTGGGAACAAACTGGGAGAAAACATTCTGTGTCTTTCCAAGACAAGGAAAAGGAGCTTAGAGGCCATTGGGCACTGGAATGTTTTATGACATTTGAAGGGGTGAAACATTTGCAGTGTGGTACAAGCTTGAGCTGAAATTTCCACATTTGTGTGATGTTGAAGGAAAGTTGGGGGGTCCGTGGGGTCGCATTTTGGAAGGATTCCTTTGTAAACAGCTCAGAGGAATTCTGAAACATTGAGGAGAAATCAATGCAAATTCCAGAAAGTTGTAACACACTTGGTTTGATCCCACAAAATAAAATGAACTCTCTCTCCTGACCTATTTGGAAAAATGTACTGACATCCAGGGAGGTTTACTCGAATAATACCTAGAAAGGTTGGATTGACATTTGAGGAAAGCTAGGCCAGTATCCTCTGGAGTTTAGAAGAGTCAAAGGTGACTTAATTGAAACAGATAAGATCCTGAGGGGATTTGACTGAGTGGTTGTGGAAAGGATGGTTCCTCTTGTGGGAGAATCTAGAACTAGGTGGCAAAGTTTAAAAATAAGGGAGTGCCCAGTTAAAACCTAACGGAGAATTACGTTCCCTCTCAGAGGCTTTAGAGTCTTTGGAATTTCCTTCCTCAAAAGGCAGTGGATGCAGAATCTTTAAATAATTTTAAGGCTGAGGGAAGATAGATTCTTGATTGCCAAGGGAATAAAAGATTGTCGGGATATGCAGGAGCGTAGAGTTGAGGTTAAAATCAGATCAGCTGTGTTCTTACTGAATGGTGGAGCAGGCTCAAAGGGCCGAGTGGTCTGATCTTGTTCGTTGTTTGTAGCTTATGAGTGCTGAGAAACAGCAGCATAAATAAGTGACGGGGTGGACTATGGTCAGAGCAGGAAAAGCACAGCTGGTCAGGCAGCATCCGAGGAGCAGGAAAGTCCTGACCTGCTGTGCTTTTCCAGCTCCACGTTTACTGACTCTAGCTTCCAGCATCTGCAGTCCTTACTATCTCCAAGAATAGGAAGGAGACAGACAAGGGTAACCCCAGGTGACATGAACAGCATTAACACCGTGACAGTATGGAGCATACAATCAACACTGACCCCATCAAACAAACCACCCTGTGTCCATTAAGCACTCCCAGAACAGGGACAGCTGGGGGTTAGATACAGAATGGAACTCTCTCTACAATGTCCCCATCGGGCGGGGACGGCTTAAATTCTCTCCTCTTTTTCTTCTCCCTCATCCATGATAATCTTGCTTCCCTTTTTTTGTTCTTTATTTAAAACTCTTTGCTCAGTCACATAAACTGTTTTGTCAGCAGAGGGTAAGGGCCAGCTGACTGGCGTCATGGATCATTTGACTGGGGCGTTGCACAATACAGTCAGCTGCTATGAATCAGCGGAGCGTGAATTAATAGAAAAGCCGGAAGTAAAGGTACAAACCTCATTGCAAAGGGTCAACGAGGTAGGGTAAGAGAGCTTCCTGAAGAAGGGTCTAGACCCGAAACGTCAGCTTTCCTGCTCCGTTCATCCAGCTCTACATCTTGATATCGCAGATTCTCCAGCATCAGCAGTTCCTACAATCTCGGGATAAGAGAGCTGCTGTGTGGGTTGAACAGCGTGCAAAGGTGAGAGGCCTTAAAGAGAGAGCGTGTAACTGTAAGGGACTGAATCGAGAGAAAGACAGAGAGCAGGGAGAAAGTGAGGTGAAAGGGAGAGCCAGATGTGGAGCGAGGGTGAGGAGAAGCATGTATTCCCACGTAGAGAGAGCGAAATTTAGGGTGAGAAATACGGGGAGAGGGGGAGAAAGAGGGAAGAGAAGAAGGTCGAGGGAAGAGAAGAAGGTCAAGGATAGAGAAGGGAAGAAAGCCTGAACCTAAGGGAATAGATGAGAATGGAGAGGGTGGGAAGGTGGAGAAAGAGAGGCAGAGGGAGGAGGGCAAGAGGTTAAGGGTAGACAAGATGTAGGAAATTTGGGGGGTGGGGAGTGTGGAAATTGAGACAAGAGGGAAGAAAGGGTAAAGGAGAGTGAGGAAGAAGTGGAAGGAGGGAATGAAGGGGTAGGGTAGGAATAAAGCAATATTGCATCTTCATAAATGTCCTTTTCACTTATGAAAATTGAATATTCCACTTAGATGGTGCGGAGAAGGAGGGAGAGGAAAGAGGGAGGGTGCCAGGAGGAAGGGAGCATGGGAGACACCGAGCTGGAGTGAGCAAGAAAGCAAGAGGGAGTCAACACAGTGTGGAGATGGATGAATACAGCAGGCCAGGCAGGATCAGAGGAGCAAGAAAGCTGATGTTTTGGGCCTAGACCCTTCTTCAGATTTTTATCTTTCCTGCTCCTCTGATGCTGCCTGGCCTGCTGTGTTCATCCAGCTCCACACTGTGTTATCTCTGACTCTTGCATCGGCAACTCTTACTATCTCAACATAGAATGAGTTTCTGAAGCAGGGTCCTGACCTGAAACGTCAACATAGAGGGAGTGTGTTATTGATGGGCAGAAGGATGTGAGAAGGATAATGAAATAGTTTGAGCGTGAAGTAGGAGAAGAGGATGTGGATGGGGTCTGACTGTTGTCTTGATGATCCAATAGGACTGCAGTGCCTGAGAATATGACTCTCCAACAGGACAAATAGCTCTTGGATATTGCTGGGGAGATTTAAGGGAATGCAATAAGAGCTAATTCCATGGCCCAGGGGGTTTAATCCTGGCCTTAAGGAGGCAGCAAAGATGTCACTGGCTGCAGGGGATTCTGAAGGAGGAAGAATAGCTAGAGATCATAGTTCATGTTGGTATCAATGACCTAAACAAAGAGGATGAGTTTGTGTAAGCAAAACACACAAACAAGGAAATATATTACGAAACAGACCTTAAAATTAAATAGCCGCAGGAATAATCCTGAGATTATGTGCTAGTGAGATCAGGAATAGTGGATGGGGTTGCATCTGATCAGAACTGGAACAGAGATCCTCCCAGGGACGTTTGCTGTTACTGTGGGGAAGGATTTAATCTAGAGGGGCAAGGAGACAGGAATCCGTGTGTGTGTGTATGTGTGTGCGCCCCCCTGAAGGAAACAAAAACAATGTTGAGGTCTCGACTGCTTTCTGTGTGTGGTTTTGAGGAGGAGTTTCTTTCTTCTGAGGATTGAGTGTCTTTGGAACACCTTGCCACAGGGAGCTGTGGGTGTCAGAGTCCTTGTGTGTATTTTAAGGCTGCCATAGATTCTTGATCAAGGGTTATGGGGAAAGTGGAAATGAGGGATGAGCCATGATCCTATTGAATGGAGGAGCAGGCTCGGGGCTGAACAGCCTCTCCCTGTTCCTATTTCTTCTAGTTTCATGGTCCTACAGACGAATATAGCACTTGAGCAAAGGGATCAAAGGATATGTAGGAAAAACAGGCACAGGCTACTGCATTGGATGATCAGCCATGATCATAATGAATGGTGGAGCAGACTTGAAGGGCTGAATGGCCTGCTCCTACTCCTCCTACTTCCTGTGTTTCTTTGAGAGATTTTAAAAAGTAGGAAGCTAAAGTGGAAGGCAAAGAAAACGAGCTAGCAGAAACCAGGGCTGGAGTACAAAAAAGTTTTAAAAAGGTACGCTATCTGAGAGCACAGTGTATTTAGAATAAGAGAGATAAATTATGTCAATAGTTGTAAAGAGGTATGATATGATTGCAACTATGGAGACATGGCTGCAGGCTGACCAAGGCTGGGAACTGAATATCTAAAGTTACTCTATCTTTAGTAAAGAGAAGCCAAAATGGAAGGGACATGGGGTGGCATTGTTGGTGAAAAATGAAATCAGTGGAATAGTGAGAGAGGATATCTACGCAGGTGATCGAGATGTGGAATCAGTCAGCATCTTGCTAAGAAGCAACAAATGGTGGAAAACATGAGGGAGAGTTGATTGTAGGTCTCTTAAACAGTAGTCGGTAAAGTAAGGGATGGTATTAAACAGGAAATTAAATGCATGCGACAAAAGTACTGCAGTAAATATCGTTGAGCAAGCCCTTCAGTTCATAGACTGCTTGACAAACTGCCTCAGGGATTGGATGAGAAACATTTTTGACAAGTCATTATAAATCCATCTGTCTCTCTCGCTCTTAACCCCCTCCACACCACCCCCCCCCGCCCCCGCATTCTCTGAAGTTCTTCCTGCCCACTTCTCAAACACTTTTTTTTCCTTTTTTCAGTCCCTCCTTTCTCTCTATCTATCCGTATCTTTGTATGTTCCTCCTTCTGCTTCCCTCCACTTCCTGTTTCTAATCCTCTCGCTCCAACCCATCAATGTCACAATCTCTTCCAGTCTTTCATGCCCATTTTCTCGCTCTCTCGGACACTCTTGCACTCCCTCTCTCGCACGCTGTCATGGACACACTTTCAATCTCTCTCTTTTTTTCAGTTGCTGGTTTGAAGATTAGTGTCAAGGATGATGTTCATCTTTGCCTCATTCCTCTGTGTTTCCATGGTGATGGCCAACCCATTGCCAGATTTGGAGCCCCTGTCCCAGAATATGGTCAACTTCATCAACAAACTGAACACTACCTGGCAGGTCAGTAACTGCAGCTAGGGGAGTGGGGGTGGGGAGGGACCTTTGGAGTGGGGGCAGGGGATGGGAAGGGTCACAGTCACTGAGTGAAGTGTAGGATACCTTTTAAGATAACCCACACCTTAAGGGTGAACTGATATTGGTTGGGCTGGGGGCTGTAAGAGATCTAACAATGTCATTGTTTTCCAGGCTGGTCACAATTTCCAGAATGTTCCTTGGAGTTATGTGAAGAGACTGTGTGGAACATTCCTCAATGGACCAAAACTGCCCTTAAGGTGAGGGGCAAAGCGGGTGCTTTGGAGGGGCCAGTCTCCAAGGGGATGGATATGGACAGAACAGGGTCAGGTTTGGCGCTTGTTTTTGGGATGAGAATTTTTTTGTTTTGTTTATTCGTTGGTCTCCCTCCAGAGATGGACCATGAATCCATTCCACTGAGAACCAAGGTCAGACCAATAGGCCCTGAGCTGTCTGGTGTGACCCCATGTCTAATACCATCCTTCACCAACCACTTGCACACCCTCTCCAGTGCTGTCACATCCCTCCTGTAATGTGGATTCCACAACAGAGCACAATACTCGTGCTGTGGCCAAATGTTTGTTTTATACAGTCCCAGCATCACCTCCCTGGTCTTAAACTGTCTGTCTCCGCTAATGAAGGCATGCATCTCATATGCCTTCTGAACCACTTCATCCACCTGTCTTGCTACCTTAAGAGGACCAGTGGACATGCATACCAAGCCTCTGTCCTCACTGTAGAGGATACAAAAAGCATTGGAGTAATAGCTGTGTGTGCAAAGGAGAGAGGATCTCTGTGAAATTACATTCATCAGGGATGTTGTACTAATTGGGCTGGGACTGGAAAGTCCCTGGGCTGAGATGGATTTCATCCTAGATTCTCGAGTGACGTTGTTAATGAGATAGTAGATGCCTTGGTGTTAATTTTCTAAAGTTCTCTAGATTCTGGAAAGGTTCCATCAGATTGGAAAGTAACAAATATAACTCTGTATTCAAAAAAGGTGGGAGGGAGGCAAAGGTGGGTCACGTTGTGGACAGTGTGGAGGGCTGTTCTAGGTTACAAAGGGACATTGATAGGATGCAGAGCTGGGCTGAGAAGTGGCAGATGGAGTTTAACCCTGAAAAGTGAGGTGATTCATTTTGGAAGGAAAAACTTTAACGCAGAATACAGGGTTAACAGGAAGATTCTTGGCAGTGTGGAGGAGCAGAGGGATCTAGGGGTTCATGTCCACAGTTCCATGAAAGCTGCCACCCAGGTGGATAGAGTTGTTAAGGTGTATGGTGTGTTAGCTTTCATTAATAGAGGGATTGAGTTCAAGAGCCGTGAAGTTATGCTCCAGCTATACAAAAGCCTGGTTCGGACACATCTGGAGTATTGTGTCCAGTTCTGGTCACCTCATTACAGGAAAGATGTGGAAGTGTTGGAAAAGGTGCAGAGGAGGTTTATCAGGATGTTGCCTGGAATGGAGGGAAGGTCTTACGAGGAAAGGTTGAGAGAGCCAGGGCTTTTCTCTTTAGAATGACGAAGGATGAGAGGTGACCTGATAGAAGTGTACAAAATGATCAGAGGCATAGATAGTGGACAGCCAGAGACTTTTTCCTAGGGTGGAGGTAGCTATTACGAGGGGGTGTAGTTTTAAAGTGAGCGGAGGTAGATATAGTGTAGACGTCAGCGGTAGGGGCGTGGAATGCATTGCTGGAGAGGGTAGTGGAGTCAGCCTCACTAGGGGCATTTAAGCGGCTATTAGATAGGCATATGGATGCTAGTATAAGGTAGCGATGGAGGCTAGATAGACCTTAGGAGTAGGGTAAAAGTTTGGCACAACATCGTGGGCCAAAGGGGCTGTACTGTACTGTTCTGTTCTATGTTCTATGATCTAGAGTCTGTGGAATTCCATCTCACAGAGCAGTGGGGACAGAGTTGTTGTACATATCCAAGGCTGAGATAGAGAGTGATAGTGGAGGGTTGCTTTTCAGACTGGAGGCCTGTGACCAGTGGTGTTTCACAGGGTTATTGTGGAAAATAAAGGCTCTTGGTGTAGGGGCTAACAAATAGCATGGATAGAGGCACTAGGTGTGAGGCTAGGAAAGCACAGCCGGTCAGACAGCATCAGAGGAGCAGGGAAGTCAATGTTTTGGGCCAAAATGTTGACTTTCCTGCTCCATTACTGTCTGACCTGCTGTGCTTTTCCAGCCTCTCACCTGTGGACTTTGGCTTCCAGCATCTGCAGTCCTTATTGTTTCCAGGCTTGGAGAGAGGATTGGCTGGCTGGCTGGCAGAAACACAGCATATGTAAATGGGTCTCTTTCTGATTGGCAGGATGTGACAGTTGGAGTCCCTCAAGGGTCAGTGCTGGCACCTCAACCTTTCTCAATTTACATTTAATTGTTTTGATGAAGGGTGGCTCAGGTCACAAATGAAACCAAGACAGATGGGAAAGGATATTGTGAAGAAGACATAGGAAGTTGAAGATGGATAGAGAGGTTGAATGAGTGGACAAAACTGTCATATGGTGTATAATGTGGGAAAATGTGAAGTTCTTTTTGGCAGGAAGAATAAAAAATGTGGAATATTACCAAAATGGAAACTGACAGCAGAATTCCATGGTAAAGGCAAAGGGATTTGGGTTTTCTTGTGTGATTCATAGAAAAGATACTATTCAGGTGCAATGTGTAATTCAAGAGAGCTAATGGAATGCTGCTTTTTATTGCAAGAAAACTTTTTTAAAAAAAAAATTCATGCTTTAGTTATACAGATCACATCTCAAGTACTGTGTACAGTTTGTCTCCTGGCTTAAAGGATGTAAATACATTGGAGACAGTTCTGAGGAGGTTTACTGGATTATATTTGAAATGAGTGGGTTGTTTTGAGGAAAAGTTGGACAGGCTGGACTTGCTTCAACTAGACTTTAGAGATTTGAGGGGTGACTGGATTTAAGTGTTTATGATCCGTAATGGCCTTGTTTAGGTAGATATGGAAAAGATGTTTCCCGTTGTGGGTCAGGGCAGAACCAGGGGGAATTGTTTTAAGTCCACCTTTTTAGGACAGATGAGGAAAAAATATTGTTGTTCAATGTTGAAATTCTTAGTGGAGGTGGTGTCATTGAATATTTTTAAGGTGGATAGAGCCTTGTTAGGCAGGGATGGAGTTGTCAGGGGCAAATGGGAATGTGGGATTTGAAACAAATGGATCCTGTGATCTTATCGAATGACAGAGCACGCTCTAAGGACCAAATGATCTACCTCTGTTCCTATTTTTTTGCCTGTTTGTATTTCTGTATGTTCTGGATTTTGTGTGTGGAAGTGCCATTTCAAGGAAAATTGTGGAGCTGGGTCATTCACAGGTCAGGAAATCTTTCATCAAAGAAAATAAAGTCAAAACCTGGAACAATCCCACAACCCATACTGCTTCAACAAACCTTGCGGATTCTGAGTGTTAAGTGAGTCTTTGAATCAGAATGATACATTATTTTGGATATGGCTGTCCAGGGATACGGAATCAAAACAGGTACAAATCAACCATGATCTCATTGAGTAGTGAACAGGCTCAAGGGACTGAATGGATTATTGTTCATGAGGGATCACTTCTCTCTTTCTCTCTTTCTTTCTCTCGTTTTCTCTCACTCAGACTAGTGTGCATGAACTTTTTTGCAACACAGCACAAGATGAACATTCCTAATTGATTTTTGCTTCTATGACAGATCTCAGAAGCTCACTGCTTTGAACCTACCAACAGACTTTGACTCTCGGGAATGGTGGCCAAATTGTCCCACCATCAAGGAAATCCGTGACCAGGGATCATGTGGATCATGCTGGGTAAGGAACGAGTAACGTAGACAGCAGTTGTCCCATTTTCCTTTTTGTACCTTACCTGATCATGATCTCCTAAAGATAAATAATTATTTTTATTCATCACGGGATGTGGACTTCGCTTGCTGGCCAGCATTTATTGCCCATCCCTTGAAATTGGTGGTGAGTAGCTAGTTTCAACCATTGCTGTCCATCTGCAGGTAGACCCACGATATTGTTAGTGAGGATGTTCCAGGATTTTCACCCAGTAACTTGAAGAATGGTGATATTTCCATAATGAATCCTCTTAGGAAGAATGGAATCAGTACAATGCTTGCTGGGGGAAAAAAAAATCACTAGTCAAAACTTTCACTGTAACAAATCAACAAAAGTCAAATAATTTAAAGCATTAACAAGTGAAGGATATTTCAAATAAAAATGTGAATTTCATTTCATGTAGCTAATACATCAAAGATGTGCCTCAAAGTCAAATCCCTTTATTTTTTGTTCTTAAACAAATGTTGGGTCTTCATGCAATCTCAGTCTTTCCAACTCTGTCTTTGTTTTATAGGATTGTTCGCTTTTCTAACTCCAATGTCTTAGCCTTTCAGTTACATTCCCAGCAAACATATTTCATCCAAAGTACTTGGACACAGATACCATTGATAATTCACATGTTCATGAACACTGAACACTGTCATGAAGCTCAACTTATGATGGCACAGAATCTCCATAGACTCCCTTCTGAGCCCCATTTAAATGGTATGTTCAACAGCAGCAATGGGGTGGTGCCCAACACCCAATCCCCAGTAACACAGCCACTGCCTGGCAGTTGCGTGGGTTGAATACTAGTTGCTAGTTGCCACTCTTCAGCCCAATCCTGGACATTGTGCAGGTCTTGCTGCATTTAGACATGGACTGTTTCAGTATTTGAGTTGCAAATGATAGACTCTTTATTTTCACTTTATTCATTCACGGGATGAGGGCCGTCACTGGCTAGGCAGCATTTATTGCCCGTCCCTAATTGCCCAGAGAGCAGTTCAGAGTCAACCACATTGCTGTGGGACTGGAATCACATGTAGGCCAGACCAGGTAAGGATGGCAGTTTCCTTCCCTAAAGGATATTAGTGAACCAGATGGGTTTTTCCTGACAATCAACAATGGATTCATGGTCATCATTAGATTCTTAATAGTAGATATTTTATTGAATTCAAATTCCACCATCTGCCATGGCAGGATTTGAACCAGTGTCCCAAGAACACTACCTGGGTCTCTGGATTAACAGTCCAGTGATAATGCTACTAGGCCACTGCCTCCCCTCAACACCCTCAGACACCCTCATTGGCAAACATCCCTACTTCTGACCTAATGATGGAGATAAGGTCATTATGCAGCTGAAGATGGTTGGGCCAAGGATACTAAGGAACACCTGCAGAGATGTCCTGGGACTGAGATGATTGACCTCCAACATCACAACTATCTCTCTGTTAGGTATGATTCCAACCAGTGCAATTTTCCCCTGATTTCCAGTGACTCCAGTTTGGCTCAGACTCTTTGCCATACTCCATTAAATGAGGACTGTCACACTCCTCTCCGCTCCCCTCTGGAATTCAACTCTTTACAGCCTTGGTTCAAACAAGGACAAATGAGGTCAGGAACTGAATGGCCCAAGTGGAACCCAAACTGGGAGTCATTGAGCAGGTTATTGTTGATCGGTGCTGCTTGATAGCGCTATTGATGATCGTGAGTAGACTGGGGCAGTAATTATTCGGGATGGATTTGTTGTGTTTTGACTTATTGTCACATGTACCGTGATACAGTGAGAAATATTGTTTTGTGTGCTATCCAGGCAAATCACACCCTTAAGTACATCAGGGTAATAGAACATAATGCAGAATAGTGTTACAGCTACAAAGAAGGTATGGAGAAAGATCAACTCTAATATCAGAGGTCGATTCATATGTCTGATAACAGCAGGGAATAAGCTGTTCTTGAATCTGTTGGTACATATTTTCAAACTTTTGTATCTCCTGCCTGATGGAAGAGTGTAACCAGGGTGAGAGGGGTCTTTGATTATGTTGATTGCTTTCCTGTGGCAGTGGGAACTACAGATGGAGTCAATGAATGGAAGACTGGTTTGCGTGATGAACTGGGCTGTGTTCATGACTCTGTGTAGTTTCTGGTGGTCTTGAAGAGCAGTTGCCATATCATGCTGATGCTTTAAGATAAATGCACCATAGAAAGCATTCTATAAAAATTGGTAAGAGTCTGTGGACATGCCAAACTTCCTTAGTCTCCTGAGGCATTAGAGGCAATGGTGTGCTTTCTTGACTGCAGCGTTGATGTGGATGGACTAGGATAGATTGGTGATATTTACTCCTAGGAAATTGAAACTCTTGACCACTTCCACCTCAGCACCATTTCAGTGTACAGGACATTCCTGGGTAATTTTCCACTTTGTTGGCTAAGTGTCAGTGTTCCAACTGAATTGGAAGAGCTTGGTTAAGGGAGTAGCAAGTTCTGAAGAGTTGTGCTCCAGTATTATTAGCAGAATATTATCAAGGTCCATAGTCTTTGCAGTGTCCAGTGCCTTCAACTGTATTGTGATATCATGTGGAGGAATCTGCGATAACAAGGTTTAGAGCTGGATGAACACAGCAGGCCAAGCAGCGTCAGAGGAGCAGGAAAGCTGATGTTTCAGGCCTAGACCCTTCTTCAGAAAG